TGAGAAGAAAATGAGGTAAACTGGTTCTCACAAGATGTCTGCTTTGGAAGATTTCCCTTTTTTTCCTGTTTTGGTGACAACCCAAAATTTAGGATTTTCTTTTGCTTTTGTTGGTGATAAACATTCTGAAGGCTTGAGGTTGAGTCTCCCAAATGGAATTACAGACAGCAATAAAATAAACCTGATGGGTGTTCTAATCCCTCTCCACTGTATTCAAAGCTAAACGTTTTGCCTATTATGCTTTTATTTATAGCTGTATAATATGTATAAATGCATGGCACTGCTGCCTCTGGCTACTAGTCTCACAAGAGTTGGAGATTTCCCATCACTACTGTCATTTGCTGGAGTGAAAGCTGTACCTGAAGACCTGTAGAAAAGCATTCATCCAGTCTGTGGATCTCCTGTTAATTTTAAACCCAGTCAATCAAGGGTCAGCTTTCACTGCGAAAGTAAATCTTGCTACCAAAATAGTCTCCACAGACACTGGGGGAACAATGCATAGTAAGTTGGGAATAGTGAAAATATCAGATGCAGGGAGACCACAAGCAATACAACAACCAATCTTGTCTTGTGCTTGCTTTTTTGGGCGTAATTTAGATTTTCTGAGTGAGACCCAACCCATTTGTTTTCCTTTTATATATATATATATATATTTATATATATATATATATATATATATATATATATATAATTAGTTACCCATATTTTTAATGCATCTTTGTGTGCTTAAGGGATCCACCTTTTTTTTTTTTTACCGGTTTTAAACCATTATGACAACTTGGCCAAAGTTCAGTCATTTGGCTCCTATTACGCTGTACTTTTTTTAGTAATGGTTTTGCAAATAACTCAAAGTAAATAACTTGAGTTAATGATTAGACATTTTATATTGGTTTGACATGTGATGTTCGTTATATTTTCTAAACTAAGCCAAAAGATTTGTGGAGGTCTGAGGGAGACTTCAAACCACAACTTCACATAGAGCCATTTCTAATAGGACCTTATCATTTTTCAACTTGGCGTTAAGAACTTTCTTGCAAAACTTGGTGTTTATTTTAAAAAAGTCTGCTGCTGCTGAAATAGTAGATCAAGCGCAGTGGATTCTATATTGTGTTCCATGGATGTGGTTATGGTGTTTAGAGAATACTTCTGCCTGCAGGTTGTCACCCTGAATGTTCAGCGCCTGGCATAAGACTTGCAACCAGGTCCTGGCTTCTGTGTTCATTTAATTTCCAAATGAAACCCTGTACTGAGGAAATGCTTTCAGCAGGAAAAAGGAATAATTTAAAATGAATTTGTTGAGTATGTCTGGAAAATCTGCCTGCATATTCTCCTCTAACTGCCAAAGGGATTTGAATCTTAGTTCATTTTGTTTCTAGTCTCTATATAAAAACTCTACAATGCAATAGTTTTCAATGAAATTTTTTTTTAATAACACAAGCAAAAGTTTGCCCTTTCCAGAATGAACAAGGTTGGAAATGGTGGCAGGTGTAGTGGTGATAGCAGTGGGTTGGGGTGATGGCTAGTGCAGTACTGAGAGGAAACTGTTGGTATGGTAGTAGGTTAAGTGGTGAGAAGTAATAGCTGGGAGAAGGGACATACTGGTGTGGATGCCGAGGCCTGGTGGTGGCAGTATTGTGGGTATTTCGGGGATAGGAAGTTGAACTGCAGGAGGAGGGATGGGTGTGGATGGAGAGGCTGGTGGGGTAAAGTAGGGCTGACATGGGGATTAGAGAGTATGGAGGATGTTGCTGGCACCCTCCCTGTCAGCAGCGGCACACCCATACAGATTTGTTTTGGTATCATCTAGCACTGTCGTGCAGCTTATGATAAGTTCTCCCACTTAGAAACCATGGAGGGGTCTGAAATTCACATTGTAGGTGCATTCCCACTCTGAGAGACAGAATTAAAAAAAAAAAAAATTCAGGAAATCCCATTGTATGATTTTTAAAGAATTTTTTTGTCTTGCACTGCTGAACGTAAGTATTTGAACACCTAAGAAACAGGAAGAATTCTAGGTCTCAAAGACCTGTTACTGTGCCTATAAAAAGTCCACCTCAATTCCACTCATTAATCTAACTTAGCACATGTCTGAGCTCTTTAAAGACACCTGTCCACCCCACAGTCAGATGCCAACTACTACCATGGGCAAGACAAAAGAGCTGTCAAAAGACACCAGAGACAAAATTGTGGACCTCCACCAGGTTGGAAAGAGCTGCGGGGCAATTGCCAAGCAGCTTGGTGAAAATAGATCAACTGTTGGAGCAATTGTTAGAAAATGGAAGAGGCCAAAGATGACTGTCAATCTCCCTCGGACTGGGGCTCCATGCAAAATCTCACCTCTTGGGGTATCACTGATAAGAAAGGTGAGGAATCAGCCCAGAACTACAAGGGAGGAGCTGGTCAATGACATAAAGAGAGCTGGGACCACAGTTTCAAAGGTCACTGTCAGTAGAACACTGCGCCGTCATGGTTTCAAATCATGCATTGCACCGAAGGTTCCCTGCTCAAGTCATCACATGTCCAGGCCCGTCTGAAGTTTGCCAATGACCATCTGGATGATCCAGAAGAGACATGGGAGAAAGTCATGTGGTCAGATGAGACCAAAGTAGAACTTTTTGGTCTAAACTTCACTCGTCATGTTTGGAGGAAAAAAGATGAGTTGCATCCCAAGAACACCATCCCTACTGTGAAGCATGGGGGTGGTAACATGTTTTGGGGGTGCTTTTCTGCGAAGGGGACAGGACGACTGCACTGAATTAAGGAGAGGATGAATGGGGCCATTTATTGTGAGATTTTGAGCAACAACCTCCTTCCCTCAGAGCATTGAAGATGGGTCATGGCTGGGTCTTCCAACATGACAACGACCCTAAGCACACAGCCAGGATAACCAAGGAGTGGCTCCGTAAGAAGCATATCAAGGTTCTGGAGTGGCCTAGCCAGTCTCCAGACCTAAGTCCAATAGAACATCTTTGGAGGGAGCTGAAACTCCATGTTGCTCAGCGACAGCCCCGAAACCTGACAGATCTAGAGGAGATCTGTGTGGAGGAGTGGGCCAAAATCCCTGTTGCAGTGTGTGCAAACCTGGTCAAGAACTACAGGAAACGTTTGACCTCTGTAATTGCAAACAAAGGCTTCTGTACCAAATATTAACACTGATTTTCTAAGGTGTTCAAATACTTATGTTCAGCAGTGCAAGACAAATTCTTTAAAATTCATACAATGTGATTTCCTGAATTTTTTGTTTTTAAATTCTGTCTCTCGGAGTGGGAATGCACCTACAATGGGAATTTCAGCCCCCTCCATGAAGTGGGAGAACTTGCAAAATCGCAGGGTGTTCAAATACTTATGTTCCTCCCTGTACAAACCGTTATTGAAGAACCCTTTGGTGCCCTATAAGAAGGACCTCAAAAAGTTAATCAAGAAAGGATATGAGGGAGGAATGCTCCATAAAAAAGAGAGAGAATTTTTATACCCAGTAGCCCCCCAAATCCTGCTGTAGCCAGAGTTGGCACAGATCAGCAGGGAGCGAATACATGCGCGCCCCTAAACCCAGAAAAGACTGGATGATGTACATCTAGTAACGATACTCCTACTGAGTTCCCTCACTGCCTGCTGGCTGCATGACTGAAGCAATTCTTGTTTGGTGGCTTAATCTTTGAGCCACTCAAGGTGGATACCTACTGTTCCTGACATATTTGATGCCTGGTGTAAGTGAGACAAAGGAGCAGTCCCTGTATGCTGTGAGGGTCCTGCTGAGAGGTCTGGAGTCCTTCCCTGTGTGTGTGGAGTTACTTATTCCCACCGGTTCCTTGATGACCACCAGTGCCTTTCTGGATATTTACATACATGTGGAAATATTATTGTGCGTCCGGTGAGTGCAAGTACCTAATTTTCCTTACCACGGAAGTAACGAGCACCATATTTCCATGCATTACTTGCGAGGACGACTCGTATCCCAAGACACTGGAATATTGATGCATCATTTTGATATTCGCTTTAGCACGATTGTCCTATGGACTTGCATTTACGTATGTTATAAGTTTGTCACTTTATTCGTCATAATTTTGACGACACACCATTGTCACTTTATAGCGCTCAACATTGGTGCTTGATTATATCACTAATCACTTGTATTTGCGCTGCATTTTTATTATATACGTTTTAAAGAATCAAGGGGTTTATCCTTATGCTAGCTGCTCAATTATAGAAAGTGCTCTCTTGTTTTATTTATTAGCCCCCAAATTACCTATCCTTTGCCAAAGATCCGATACACCCCCCTGGTAGGCCTATCGTGAGTGGGATAGATGACCGCAGAGGATAACATATATACATATATATATATATATATTTTTTTTTTTTTTTTTCACCCTCATGTCTGTATGCCAGAGCTAAGGGCAGATGACTTCCAGTAAGTAATTGCTACATGAGTCATCTGCCCTTACTCAAGATGGCCATGGCCAGAAATGTTAGGGGGTGTTTTTGTAATTAATTTCTCAGCAAAATAAAGCATGGAGACATGGGTTAATGCATGAGTTTGCTTTTTGAATATTAAAAATATGTTAAATGGCGCTTTTGGATTGTAGCGCTCAGATACAGTGTAGTTCCACTTTAGGCAATGTAAGAACTTCAAATACCGTATAAGACCCAATATCCCTGGTGCAAATTAATGGTAATCGTTATAACAATTGTTTTGGGCAAAGATGTCCTGTTCAGTTGATTTAAATTATCGAATTAGTTGTATCATTGGAAAACATTGTAGTATGTGTACAATATTCTTGACTTGAGTTTACAACTTTTATTTATGAAATGTCTAGGTTGTACATGTGGTATGTTGGGTGAAATAACTTTACCCCTTAATTTTCCTATAGGTCAGAATTTGGACATTTTTCCACATAGGACTGGAACAAAAATCAAACTCTGACCTTAAGAAGCAGGAAAATGGTGTGACATTAGCTCCAGAAGACACTCTACCCTTCCTAAATTGTTACTGTTTTGGATACTGTCCAGAAGATGCTACAAATAACACTTGCATGTAAGTTTATACACTTCTGTATATTGAACTGATAATTTAGTCACGGTATAAAATCATGCAATTCTAATGTTATCCAGAAAACGTCACTTGGCTATCATCAAGGTTGAATGAGTTTCGCATTGCCAAACGGAGTACTTTTATAAGGCCTCTTAGTGGCAAGGTGTCCCCTATCATACATTGTGTGTAACATGGCTATCTTTGATTTATGTCTCTTTGCATATAATGCTTTCTGTAAACTGCAGTGGTAGTGGTGCATGGGTATGACTGATTTAAGAGGTGTTCATAATAACATTGCAGAGGCGCTTAATGAGCTGAGGTAGGAATATCTGACAAAGTTATAGGCTCACGATTTACACAATGTTACTCTGTAACAGAAGATGCATTATAGCATACTACCAATCACAAACCTGATAATTATTATAATTGTACTTGATATAACAATTAGAAAGGGTTTCTTGACTTCTGCTTATGGGGGTACTAGTAATATTTGGGATATTAGTGAATGTCATTTGTGAGAACAAGTTATGCTGGTTTTATAGCTGTTATGTGGTAAATGTTTGATTGGGTAAAAAATAATAAATCTTTTTAGTAGCAGTGTAGATTTTTAGCCCCTTTGACATCTGTGATCTGTATAAGCTAATAGATGGGGCTGAGATACTGACTAAAATGTGAGAGAGAAGCATTGATTGGCACAGCCCTACGGAGGCTGCCTGTCAGACAAACGTGTAATTACCATTCTTTCTTTGTGATTTTTTTTTTTTTTTATATTATAGCTATCAATTCAAATTCTCTTTAAAGTTTAAAGCTCGAGTGTAGGTAAGATTTTTTTTTTTCCAGTAATATAATGAAGGGTTAGATGTTTTCTTGGATAAAAGTGGCCACGCCCAAGTCTATAACTGGCTTATGAAGCAAGGACACATAAACAGGCATCACATAGTGAAAAAAAGGGGGAGAGAACAATGTTCTTGGACAACTTGCCAGCCAGCTTGCTAACAACCGAATTAACCTGTCAACAGTATGCGTTTATAGCAAATACATACGTAAGCAGCCACGACACGGCACTGATCATCTGTGGTCCTAACTCTTTTATGAGTCCCATAGTAGAGGCACATGCATTTAAAGGATAGATCAAGGGCAGGTGGACCTGAGGGAGCCACCCCTCTTAAAGCAAAGGAGTGCACTGGACCCCAGCATGTAGCACAATGGCAACCAGGGCCCTAGTGCACCCACGTACCAAAAACTCAAAACATGCATAAAAGTGGCCACCCGCCCAAGTCTATAACTGGCTTATGAAGCAAGGACACATAAACAGGCATCACATAGTGAAAAAAAGGGGGAGAGAACAATGTTCTTGGACAACTTGCCAGCCAGCTTGCTAACAACCGAATTAACCTGTCTTAAATGCAGTTTTCCTGCGTTCACTGATAGATGCAGCTCTTCTAGTGTTTGACCATAGGATTTTAAAGCAACACTTACAGGACTTGGATGCTTGGCAGAATAGAACACAGCACTGCCTATGGATAGTCCTAGCTGGTATAAACCCCCCTCTCGTCAAGCCAGTTATTTCTACCTAGTGTAAGGAGTAAGGACTTAGTTCTCTTGTGGGGCCATAGTCTTTTTTTTTTTTTTTTTTCCTTGAAATTTTTTCCTCAGAGATATGCAGTCAACAGCCAGGCTGGGCGACAGGCTGGATAGTCTAGAACCGATAGTCACCCCAGTCTGGCCAACTAGCGCATGCAGACCTTTAGGTATGTGCTGGGTGGCTATGACGGTCCCTTTTTGGATCGGGGTGGCCGTGAGTTAAATTTCTCATGGTGACGCACATGACTGGGCACTTACAGTTTGTGTCAGTGTCCTGGCTTACAGGTACCCCCCCCCCCCACACACACACACTTTTAGTGGAGAGGAGGATCTGTCTCAGGAGCGTCACCAGTATGCTCATCTGTATCAGTAATTGGATACCCCCTTCCCTCCCCAGAAGTGGTGTGGCACGCGAATACCCAGGGGTGGTTAGTCCTGCAAGGTCCCCTCCTGGCTTCAGGTATTCCCAGACTGTCCTCTTGGTGCAGAACTTCCCTCTCACCTTCTCTCTCTCTCTGCCTGTTGCTGGGCTGGCTTCGATTCCCCTTTTGATTGCTGGATTTAGTCATCCCCGGACATTGAAGGGGGTCAGCTCCTGTGCACCTGCCAGGGGCCCTGCCTGTAATTCACGATCTGGAGAGGTCACACTGTGACTTCCATGTTTCCCTGAACCACGGTGGCCCTACTTGGTAGGATCAGCCAGCAGCCGCTTTTCATTTGCTCTGGCGGCCATGTTTGGGTGGACTGGCAGGGCAGTAATTTTGGGCTAGACCTTCCCATAGATATGCATAGGAAATGTGATAAGGGATCACATAGCAGCCATTTTTTTTGTAGCTTTGTGGCCATTTCCTTTCCTGCTTCAATTCCCCTGAGGGTGATTGCCTTGACTCTGCACTGCTGGCATACTCCTCCATGCAGCCTCTCTGAGCAGATGACAATCCACAGCATTGCTTTGGCGGTCTGGTTGGAGTCCTTACTGGGGTATTTCCCTCTCTGCTATAGTCCGCTTAGAGGTGTTACCCCATTACCAAAAGGATCTTCCCGCAGCAGTGCCTTGCCTGGCTGGGGTTGCCAGTATGGAGTGTCAGGCTCACCCTTCCCCTCCTAATCCCCCCATGGAGATTAATGGTTCGTTGTGGTGTTCCATCCCCCTAGATGCACTGTCGGCGGTCCTGGGGTCCTAGGTGGAGGTAATGTTCGAGTGCAAGGCTAGCAAAAAGTGTTACCCACCGTCACTCTTTCTTGGAGGTTTCTGAGCCCTAGTCACGCTTTGCTGCCGTGGACCCTGTGCTTTTCCCGGGCCTCAAAAATGCAATCCTTGATTCCTTGGACAGCGAAAATGAGTCTCTGCCTCTGTTGCCTTGCACGAAAAGGTGCTGGTGACTGCACTAATTATATGCAAGAGACATTTAAATTCGAACCTCTCTGGGGCTACCAATGAGGTGGCTGTCCCCTTTGGTATGCACAAACTGGCTAGGTCCACTAAAGTTTTTCCTTACCTTGAATATTTTGATAAATTTATTTACAAAGATTGGGAACGTCGAAAGCGACCTTTTATTGTTCCGAAGCACTTTGCGGTATGTTACCTTTTTGGGGAAGCTTGTCTGAAAAAGTGGATCCTGTGGTGGATCCTCCCATCTTTAGGTTGGAAGCCTGTAGAATGTTTACTTTTTGTGGGTCTGCATTGTGGCCAGGGCCCAGTTTTTTCAGACACTTACTGAATGGAAATAAATTCAACTATAGGAATAAAGAAATAGGTCCTCCTGCGCTCTTATGTAAATGGATAAGATTTAGTGTTGATAACAAAAAAGCAGCTCACATCCAATCCTATACCATAAGGTCTAAATCACATATATAATAACATGATGCAGCGCTAGTAAAACCTTAAAATCTCAAAAACATGTATAATAATGATACACACATGAACGTGATTGAACAGAGAAGTGACCCCAATCCAATCGTGGATCATAGAAAAATGTGACCCCCAAGTCCTATAAGACACAAAAGGATGATAAGATACTGATCCCTAGAAGGGATCAAAACAGCACATTAAGTGAAGCACACAGTGACTAATAAGTCCATAAATCAGTGTGGTGATCATCCCATTCATGCATGTTGTGGAAAAGACAACCTCGATGTGATCCCCAACGGAGTGGCTAGAATGGCCTCTCCTCTTCACTTCATGACCCTGCAGGGCCACAAAGCACAAAAACTCCTCTGGATCCTCAGGATAGCCAATCTAACACTAAGATGACGTCCCCAGGTGATAAACTTTCACCATTCCACTGGACCGATTGGTAGACAGCTTAACACTCCCATAGGTGTCATAACACATATGCTCATATAACAGAAAGATTACAAATCTCCATAGTGAAGTACTGTTTATTGGCATATAAATAAAAAACAGAAATGCACTCACATGGGTATCTCTTGTGTAAAGCAAAGTCCAGTAGTATCAAGGTAGAATCCAATGGGCACAGTATACAGCTTGCATCACATACACTAGCCAGGTGTACTGCATGAAGAAAAAAGCGCTTGTTGGGTATACAAAGATGGCGCCACGCCGGAAGTCTGTCACACGTTGTTGCCGTCGACGCGTTGCGTCACGTGACCTCGTGACTTCATCAGGACATCAACTATAGGAATGCGCATGTGCATAGATCAATATAAAATAAAACAGAAAAAATAAATTGTGAATAAACCATAAAGTGTCCAAAAATCAATATGTGATAGTCCAAACACTTTTGACAAAGTCCCACAGGATTAATTTGAAACCACCATGTGCAATCCACCACCAAATAAAGTTGGGTAACTTACCAAAGCTATATGCTGATCAAATCATAGACCAGCATAAGCGCTATTGCTCTGGGAGCGATGAATATTCCAATTCCAGGTATTGGGTGCAATATTCTGCAGGATGTGAAAAAACGCCACTCTGTACTAAGGATTGATTCCAGACAATCATGGAAAAGCTCTCCGCAACCAGTCTCTCCTAGATGGATATGTGATTCTCCATAGACATTGGAACCATGTTCAAAGGCAAAGAAAAGGCATAATAGTGCAGCGTGTTTAAAACCAAAGCATGTTTTTAATGTAGTAACACACTTACATACAAGGTGTCTAGACCGACACCAGCATCAAAGGCATAGGCATAAATCACTAGCACCGCTCACCGCGGGTCCTCTCCGACAGACACAGGAGGAGTGTCACAACGTCGGCATACAGTTGGCCACTTCCTACGCGTTTCGTCACCACAATGTCCTCACGGGGCAGTCTTCTAAATAACATTCTACTTACCGAATGGGCCAACGTCAAGGTCTGAAAACAGGGCAGGTGTCTCTCAGTGTATGTTGAACCGATGAACCAGTTGGTCTATGGCCTGACATACGTCTGTTACACATCCTTCGATGTGGCCCTGC